GGGGGTGGGGGGGGGTGGGGGGGGGGGGGGGGGGGGTAAGCAGCCTTATCCCTACCTTGTGAAGGGGTAGAGACGTCGTTTCTGATAGACCCTCGGCTCAAGCAATAGCATATCAAAAGAAATCAACGCAGGAACAACAACAACATAACCGGGATAATCCACAAGTAGGATTTAGGGAGGGTGAGGTGTACGCAGCCTTACGCCTACCTTCTGAAAGTAGAGAGATTGTTTCCAATAAACCCTTGGCTCAAGTAAAAACACATCAAAAGAAATAAACACAGGCACAACAACAACATACGCGGTGTAATCCACAAGTAGGGTTTGGGGAGGGTGGGGTCTGTGTAGCCTTAAGCCTACCTTCCGAAGGTAAAGGGGTTGTTTCAGATAGACCCTCGGTTCAAGTAAAAACATATCAAAAGAAATAATGTAGCATACCAGTCATTTCCCTCACGGTAGAATCCAGTAACCTTCGCAGCCGGTGCCATCAATGATCCAAACTCCAGAACACAACAACTTTGTTTCTCACCCCTACACTCAATTTGTATTTTCTCCAACACAACTTACACACCTTTTTCCTCCGACACAAATTCTACTGAATTCAATTGAAAGCATCTGAACCTATATGATGCTGGCAATTAATTACCAAGTTAAACAAACCCCCATCAAAGGAAAAAAGCAAAATCACCAAACATGGGAGCCACATAAATGAAGTCCAAAATGAGTCAAAGCTTAAGGGGTCATAAGAATCCACTCAATTAATTAGACACCAAAAAGAAAATCATAATCATTGGTCCCCCTCCCTTCTCTTACAGCTAAGCTTCTTAACCCCCTACCAATAAGGGATACCAATAAGGGAGGTCTCGGGTTCGAGTCCTCCTAGATACCGAGTGTCTTTGTTAGCGAACGCTCACCTCAAATATAAGACTTTTTAGTCAGACCCCAATGCGGGTACTGGACACAGGACGGAAAACCCAAAAAAAAAAAAGGCTTTTTACCCCCTCACCCCAAACCCACCCTTTTCTCTTCTTGTGTTTCTAAGGAAAACTGAATTCACTGCTCACAACAACAACCCCAACAAAGGAAACAGCACAGCAACAGGTATGGAACTTGCCGTCCGATGTAGTCAGGCCCCAATAGACTATCGGACACTAGATGGAAAACCAAAAAAAAAAAAAAAAACCTTCTTGCCCCTCACCATTTTCTCTTCTTGTGTATCTAAAAGAAAACAAAAATCACTGGTCACAACAACCCCCAACTAATGAAACAGCACAGCAAAGCAACAGGTATGGTCCATAATATACAATACGTTACTTTTATATACAGTATATATTATATACTTGTGGCATATGTGTAAAGAGAACCCACAAAAAACCGGCTTAAACAATTAAGCATAATCTCCACCAAAGATTCTTCCTTTCAGCAAAAACCCATTACAATATTCATTTGGGTTTTTGACTAGTACTATCTTTTTTTACATTTACATTACCCGGCACTACATGTACAAGTATACTCACTATATACCACTATATATCATACAAATGGAAGTAGAAAAAGGGAAAAAGAGACAAAGGGGTTTTAAAGGCCGGCGAAGAAGGACAAACTAGAAGGAAATGGAGACAAGAAGACATGGCTAATGATGAAGAAAGGGGGAGAGAATATGATGGTTTGAGTTTTGGTTGACGCTTTTTGTCGAACAGGTGGAGTGCGATTTGGGTTTTAATCGAGGAACACATGGATCCAATGAGAATGTATGTGGCTTCGGGTTCTGTGAGGAGCTACGCTTCTGATTTTTACAATGTCAGCTCTCGTATTTCGATATTCATATTAAAATTCGATTAAATTAAATTTATCAAAAAAAATCATGAAACCTATCACGTGCATCAAACTAAGAACTAGTGAGTAATAAGATTTTTAGAAATTAAAGTAGGCATTATTTAGAAGCTATTATAATAAAAAATATATATATAAATTTATGTTTTCTTAAATATAAAGCATAAACTAAACTCCAATATAAAAAATAAAAAATGGGAAAAGTGCAAATGCCCCCCCTAAAATGGCGTTACTACAATCATTTAATGTTCGAATGCGTTTTTTTTTTTTTTTTGCCTTTTATTTTACTTTGGTGCTTTGCTTTGTGTACAAGATAGAGAAAAAATTTAGGACATTAAATTAAAATCATTAATTAACTACACATCAATAAAGGTAGGAAGACAAAAGTATATTTAAGAGAGTTGAGGTGGCATGTCATGTGGTATAAATCTCATACTAGCATCAAGACAATAGTTCTTTCGTTTCGTATTAAATGAACATTTTGCTAAAAAATATTTGTCTCATATTAATTAATCATTTAATAAATTAGAATAAAATTAATTAAATTTTTCTCATTTATTCCTACCATTAATATGACTTTTAGAAGTTTATATAAGTTTTGAAGATCTAAGAGTTTATTTTTTCAAGAGATAAATTATTATGAACAAAGGGTAAAATAGTAAAATTAATCAATCTATTAGGGGCCATTTGGTTACTGGTTAGAGTTATGCAGGTATTAGTTATACATGGTTTAGTTATGCAGGTATCAATTATGCAGAGTTTAGTTATGCATGTATTAATTATGCAGGGTTTAGTTATGCAGGGTTTAATTATGCAGGGTTTAGTTGTGCAGGGTTTAATTATGCGAGTATTAGCTATGTGGATATTAGTTATGTAGGTATTATTTAGTTATGTAGAGATTACAATACATGAATTATTAACTATTATATTAAACTTGTAGTAAATTATTAATATATATTATTTACAAAATAATAATACATGTTAATAAAATGTGGAATATATTGAATAATATACAATGCTAATATTTTTTATTTTTTTTAATCAACATTGGACCATGTCCATTTATTCATCAAATAAAAATGTGTCCAAACAAGGTCCAAGAGTGACCAAGTCGGTCAACAAAATAGACAAAACAAAAACAACTAGAAATAATCTAATTTGGAAACAAAAAAATCCTAAACTGATAGAACAACTCCAGCATAATGCTAATATTTGATTAGCATATGTACCGTCAAAAAATATACAATCAAATCTCTAATATTAAAAAAATATTTATATTTGCATAAATAAATAAAAAGGGTAAATATATAAAAAAATATATATGAAAATAGTCTATATATAAAAAGAAATAAAAACAACAAACGTAGATAGGAAAACAATAAAGTTTTCAATTTAAAAAAATAAAATAAATTAAAAGAAATGAAAATGATCTATATATAAAAAGAAATAAAAACAACAAACGTATATAGGAAATAGTAAAGTTTCCAATTAAAAAAATAAAAATAAATTAATAGGGTAAATATGTAATTTATCATTTTAATACATGTATAACTAATACCCACATAACTTATTCCACCTTCTACCCTGCATAACTTTATACATAGATTCCCTCATAAGTTATGTTGGTATTAATTATGTAAGACTACAAAAAATGCAACCAAACATCGTATAATTAATACATGAATAACTTTTATACAACATTTAAATTATTACCAACCAAACATGGTATAAGTTATGTTGACTTTTATACCTAATACAAAACTTCTACCAAACACAGTAAAGCTAATGCAACTTTTTATACATGAATAAGATGTCTCTTATACAGTAACCAAACGACTCCTTAATGATTACTTAATCACGGTGTTAAATAGAAAATGTTTATCTAATATGGATCAAAGAGAGTATTTTTTAACAATTTAAATAATAATGGAGATATTTTTATATGGATAGTATTGTGAATGTTAAATATTTTTTTCTCAAGGACAAATTTGACCTCTTTTCCAAAAAATTATATTTGCACCACATTTAATTAGTTTAATAGGCTATGAAACAATTTGCAATTCGTGATTAAAGATTAAATTGCAAGCTAATAAATGAGGGAAATATCTATATATTAAAAATAAGGCATAAAAGCAATTTTATATAATTGTAATTTTATAATATTAGAGTACATTTAAAATGTGTAACATAAGTTTTCTCACCTTCTTAATGTATAATTTTTGTGAAAAACTATTTGCACTTTGCGACCATAAGAAGAATTAAACTATGATGACTATGTAGGAGGTGATCTATATACATATAAAATAAAATAAAAAGGACACAAAAACAACTCGAGTTAGTTATAAATTTATAATATTAAAGTTGAAATTATGTAACATAATCTCTCTAAAATTCCCTTTTTGGTTACATGTTATTATACATAAATGCTCTCCAAATAATTATAGTTCTATAAAGGGATTGTTTGATTTGTGGATTAAATTATTTCAAAATTTTAGTATGAATTTATATTCTTTGGAATTAAATAGTTCCGAAAATGATTAAGATATTTTGGTAATGGGCTCTTCCAACCCATAAACTTAAATGTGCTATTACCTTATTGCTTTTTTTTTTTGTTTGTTTTTTCCATCTGTTGTCTTGTTTCCACATTGAGCCCGATTAAATTTGAATTTGCACCAAAAATATTTCACATTGAGAAGTAAAACACTCTCTAAAAAAGGCAACTCTATATCCCGAAAGACTCAAACCCAAGATCTGACAAAGGAAACTTCATACCAAGAAGATTCAAACCCAAGACGTCAAACAAAGGCAACTTCATATCCATAAAGACTCTAATCCAAGGCCTCTGATTAACGATAAAAGACTACTACCACTCTATCACAACTCTGGCAATATGACATTATTGCTATGTTATCAAAGTTTCAAACTTGTGATGCAATCATGCAACTCTTCTTTGTAGTTAATGTACTCGCTATTTTAGGAGCATTATAACATAGTGCAGGGATCGGGTTAAACTTCTGTAATAGTAATCACGTCAAGTAGGAGAAACTCATACACAAAATCTTTAAAAATTTGAAATCCAACATAAATGACAAAATTCAGTACAAGTAAAAGAATGGACAATCACATGAATAAATAGGAAAATTTATTGCTCCATCAATAGGTCGATCAAAATGATACAAGATGTTTCCATACACAGGAATGAATAGATGAATGACAACAAATCTTATAAGAACAGGACAGCTTTTCCTTTATCTAATACCCCAATAACTATTTTGAAGCTCTAGTGACATAATACACCCAGCCTATGACACAAATTTCTTAATAAATATGCTGTCACAAAATAGAATACATGATTGATTACAGAAGGGACGTAAAATTACGTGTATGAGTGATGGACTGTAGATTTTTACTCGGGAGAATCGTAACAAGATATTGCAAGACCTGCCAACAAGCAGCGAACAATCAATTTGCTGTTGTTTTAGACATGGCCTGCTTGACAGCCTCGGCGTAGGTCCTGTGTTGGTATGTGAGTGTGGATTCTAGCAAGTCCCATAGGGAAGTCTTTGGGTTCCAACCTGGTCATCACACAGTTTAACAGTCAGATTATTCTCAACTTTTGAAGGTATTAAAATAGTCAATCGACGAAGAAACAGGTCAATACCAAGTTGCCTGTTGATTATGGTCATGTCCGGAATCCTCTTGTCACTGTCATCATACCCCTCACCATAAAATTCTTTAGAACTTACATCAATGGTGGGTATTTCAATAGAAGACTCTCCACTCACCTTTGAGTACACCTGTTATTATCCAAAGGAGTTGAGAAAAAAACATTGTGTCGACAACATGCGCATGAAATTTAGGACAAAGGAGTAGGTGTAGGAGAAAGACAAATTGAATAATTATTTCACCTTAGTCATCATTTCAGCCAGCTGCCTGACAGTAACTTCATTGTTAGGGTTACCAACATTAAAGATATGGCCATTGGCTCTGGCAGGATTTTCCTGCATTGTATGTACTTGAATCAACATAGATCCTAATGCATTTCTGGAAACAAACGTAGAGGGTTAAGGAGGTCAAAACTCACGATCATTAGAAGAACAGCCTCAATGGCATCTTTGATGTATATGAACGTCCTTTGTGATTCTCCCCCATCCACAAGTTTCAAAGGTTCACGTCTTAAAAGGTTCTGAGATGAGGGAACATTAGAAGATTAAAACATGAGACTGACAAGTGAGCATCTGATACAGGTTTTAAGGTCAACCAAAGAGAAAAGTACACATACATTACTAAAGCAAGCTAATACTCTTGGAACACCTTCACTAGGACCATCGATGCCAGGAATGAAATCCATCCTAGGACCAATCCAGTTAAATGGCCTTACAATAGTGAACTCTAAGCCATTCTCCGCACCCTCAGCTGTAAATATAACACATGACACGTAAGCTATATGGTAAGAGATTCAACTATGAAACAGACAGATAAATATAAAATTACCATAGACCAGCCTCTCAATCAATTGTTTTGCACACGCATAGGACCACCGCTGCTTCTCAATTGGTCCAAAGATGCAAGGGGAGGTGTCTTCCTTAAGCACATAATAAGCAGGATCCTAGTAAAAAAGTCAAGAGTGAATATATAAGGCAAACAATGTAAAGTAAACGGTAAATAATGACATTCTCCATGAATCCACAACAACAGCTAAACATAGTGTGGACTAAACAAAACTCTCATTGATTTCTCGATTCAGACTCCTGATTACAATTGAAATTACGCAGTAGCCCGTTCAACTTCAAAGCATACCATTTACAATTAATCAACACTGTCCTACTTTTGAATGGAGATGAAATTGCTAATATGGCTCACTATGCACCAACTTATCAACGACCACAGCAAATATTTATCAATGACCAACTTTTCAGTAATCAACATGACATCAGCACACACATTGTACATGTAGAGAAATCTCATGACTGCTTTCCCTGGAATTTGGAGAAACTGAGATATCTTGTTTCTCTCATTTTCTCCTCTCATTTTTGGTTTGTGG